TATTGCAACCGAATGCAGTTGCCCCCTTGATCTCGAGTATGCAAGTTCGTGGAGCAGGACTCATGCCGAAATCTTTACCAGATACCACAACATAGAAAGAGAAAAGTTTATAACTAAGGCCAAAAACAGCGCAGCGAGGAGTGTGTATAAAAATGAGCATAATTTATCTGAAAAAACTACTTCCACGATCAACATAAAGGAGAACTCATAAAACATATCTTCCAAGCTAGAACCGAGACTTTACCTCTAAATGGCAGACCATACAGCAGCAACTCATCACTGGAATGCAGCCTCTGCAACTTGCGAGTCTGCCCTATTCTGAGAGAGATTCGTTTTACTTGTTTTACGAAAACCACCCTTTGCGAATCGGATCTCCACAGTCTTCTAAATGGGGGAAACTGGGAGAATCTGGCATTCTTCATTACAAAAACCTGTTATTACGGAAAAAAAAATTACTTTAGAAGAATTTTAGAATCTAACTTAACTAAATTAACCGACTGACGGCATAAAAGCCATTGTCGTTGTAACCAATTTTTGTTTGTTTATTTGTTTTGATGTAACTTTATACATGTACAGCCAGCTATAAATAAAACAATAAACAACCTACTACTACTACTACTACTATTGCGCGAGCAGTCGATACTATTGTAGTTGTTGTAGAAGTTGCCGTTGCAGTTGCTGGTGACGTCACTGTACTGGTGACCGTGGCAAAGCAGGTTGGCATGAGTGAAGCTTTGCAATGTGGGATTGAGTTCATTACTCAATTCATCGCGGTTGGTTAGTTTTTGTTGGGTTTGCGTTGTCTTGTATTGACACGATTGAATGGTATGCGTTGTTACGTTGCAGAGAGAGCCGACGCTCGTCTTGCTGATGCTGGAGTGTCGAATTCACTCATAGCTTAATGTTTTAGATTTTCTTCTTGTTTATTTACACAAAAAATACCAAGTTCATCGCACTAAGCGTCTTTTCGCCCACTGTGTGTTGTTGTTTAGAGCTTGCACTGCTTTTTTTTAAATTTTCGTTGACGATAAGAAGACAGCGAATAATAACATATAAAGAAATGACAATCGAATATGCAAAACATTAATAATTGAATACTTTTCTAATAAGAAAAGCGTAATACATTTTTGTATTGAAACTGACTTTTTAATCTTTCAAAAGGCATACGTTGAAATTATTTCTCCGGATAACTTAACCGAAACAATGAAAACTAAATGTAAATTAATAGATATTAACACTTACGCAGAATTCAAAGAAATTATTATTAAAACACACAGAGAACTATTACATCCAGGAATAGAAAAACAAACAGAAAAATATTATTTTCCCGATCACCAAAAATGAATTCAAAATTTTATTAATGAATGCGAAGTATGCAACATCGCGAAAAACAGAACACAGAAATATTATATTAAATTAGAATTCAAAATAACACCAGAAATTTTTAATCCAAGAGAAAAATATGTCATCGATTTTTATATGATAAATAATAAACAATTTTTATCTTGCATAGACATTTATTCAAAATTTTTCACTTTAATAGAAGTCAACAGTCGAGATTGGTTAGAACAAAAAGAGCATTAACTAAAGTTTTTAATGAAATGGGTAGACCAAGTCAAATTAAAGCAGACAAAGATTCAGCTTTCATGTGTGCAGCATTGCAACTTTGGTTAAAATCTGAAGATGTTGTTATTGATATAACAACAAGCAAAAATGGAATTTCTGATTTTGAGAGATTTCATAAAACAGTAAATGAAAAATTAAGAATCATAAACAGTGAAACAGACATAGAAAATAAGCTAACAAAATTTAAATTAATTCTTTATGTTTATAATCATAAAAAAAGCATACTACCGCAGGCAGAACTCCTGCAGATATTTTTATATTCGCTGGAACTCCAAAATAAGAAATTAAATAAGAATTAAATGAATCACAAAATAAATTCGAATTTGATACTAGATATCGACAAGCTCCACTAGTAAAATGAAAAACCTCTAATCCGTTCGAAAAGACAGGAAAAATCACAAAATTAGATGATAATCATTACGAAGAACTTAACGAAGAAGTTAACAGAGGAAGAAAAATAATATATTATAAGTCTAAATATAAGAAAACAAAGAAACTTAACGAAAATAAATACGTAATTCCAGATCAAAATTAAATTTTTTAATTCACCTATTCACTAATTTGCACAACCTTTTTATACCCTTGCAGAGGGTATTATAATTTCAGTCAAAAGTTTGCAACGCAGTGAAGGAGACATTTCCGACCCTATAAAGTATATATATTCTTGATCAGCATCACCAGGAGAGTCGATCTAGCCATGTCCGTCTGTCCGTCCGTCTGTCCGTCTGTCCGTCCGTCTGTCCGTCCGTCTGTCCGTCCGTCTGTCCGTCCGTCTGTCCGTCTGTCCGTCCGTCTGTCCGTCCGTCCGTTTCTACGCAAACTAGTCCCTCAGTTTTAAAGCTATCGGCTTGAAACTTTTTCAAAAGTTGTCTTTCTATTGCAGGTAGTATATAAGTCGGAACGAGCCGGATCGGGCGACTATATCATATAGCTGCCATATAACTGAACGATCGGAAAAGCCATAACTTTGGTGTTTTTAAAGTTAGGGAGTTGGGATTTTCCGTGAGCTTTATTAATCCGACCTACCAAATTTCATAAGGATCGGACGACTATATCCTATAGCCGCCATATAACTGATTGATCGGAAGTGCCATAACTTTAAAAGAAGTTGGGATTTTGTATGGGTTTTATTTTTGCCAATCAATCCGACATACCAAATTTCATAATGATCGGCCGACTATATCTTATAGCTTCCATATAACTGAACGATTGGAAATGCCATAAAATTAGGAAATTGGGTCTTTTTATGAGTATTAAGAATGCATCAAATGAATAATTTTAAAGAATATAATTTACAGAATATTCTGCAAGGGTATATCAACTTCGGCTCCGTCCGAAGTTAGCTTTCCTTTCTTGTTTAGTATCGAACTTATTATTTTACACTTCTCACAATACTCTATTTGTGAACTGATCTATTCGGATCCCAAAACGGACTGACTGCTCTAGGGCCGATTATCTGATAAGCAAACCTCGGTTTAAGAGAATCTAGGGACTCGTTAAGAACTGGATAAGGATGGACTAGTCGGAATAAATTGAATGATGAAATTATTAATTTAATTTTTGAAATCGATTAAACAGATTACTCTGCAATTTTGGGCCTCGCTGGATGCTGACCGGATGTTAATGTTCACATTTGGGAGACCCGGCTTAGTTTACAGTAGAAGGCCCGCGGCGCAATTGTTTACAGTAGAAGGACCGCGGCGCAATTGGTATTGAATTAATGAATTCTTATTGAAGTGGGGAAGATAAATAAGAGCTCTGGATTTAGTGGGAAAACTGAGTAAGAAGTCCCCAGCAAGAAATTGTTTACAAATTGGGTAAGGAGCCTGGGTTCTTGGGTTGAATAACTCCCCCCATCCTAAATTGAATCGTCCCGATTCATTGGAACTGATAGATAAAGCGAATTTAAATGAGTGGTTCGGGTTCTGCTTCAATATGTGCTTGTCGTGCTTGCCTATTAGATTTTTTTTGAATTCTAATAAAATCGTGATAAATAAATATATTAAAGTAAATATGATCAATATTAACGTTATTTGGATTTGAGTTTGTTTAATTTGAATGAAAGGGTTTAATATGTTAATGCTATCAAATGTAAGTTTCGAATCATTTGACATAAGATATTCGGATACTAAGAAATTATTATATTGTTTAACAGTGATATATTCCAATATCTAATGGTCTACATTAGTATAGAAACAAGAAAGGAAAGCTAACTTCGGGCGGAGCCGAAGTTGATATACCCTTGCAGAATATTCTGTAAATTATATTCTCCAAAATGATTTATATGATGCATTCTTAATACTCATAAAAATCCCAACTTCCTAACTTTAAAAACACCAAAGTTATGGCATTTCCTATCAAATTTCATAAGGATCGGCCGACTATATGCTATAGCTGCCATATAACATATAACGATTGGATACAAAAAGTATCCGAAAAAAGAACCTCGAGTGGGAAATAAATTAAATTTTATAATCCAGTTCTCGATTAACTTGGATTATAATTCCAATTAGGTTGTCCAACAAAAAGTGGAATAATTAATAAATAAATAAAAAAAAACAATAAGTCCAAAAGCAACTAACAGTTAGGCCAAATATAAAATTTAAAGAGAATTAAATTAAACAACTTAAATAAGTGAAATAAAAAAAACAAAATTAGTATTTCTACTGAAATTTTTACAAAATTATAATTTTACAATAATAATGCCACAATCAAATATCGCCGCACCCCAAATTGTGGCGCTAAGCGACAACAACCTTGCTGAAGCTCGTCGGTAGCTTAAAGATATCATACCATTTAAAGGTGATCCAGAAAATCTGTACACCTTCGTCAGCAGAGTGGATTATGTAATTTCACTCTACAAAACTAATGATGTGCGACAGCAGAGGATTCTACTTGCAGCAATCGAAAGAAACTTAGACGGACACGTAACACGATCATTGGGCCTTCCGAACATCGAAGACTGGCCTACCCTTAGATCGAGACTAGTTGCGGAATTTAAACCCCAAACACCGAACTACAAATTACTGTAGAACTTCAGGGAGACACCTTACAAAGGAAATCTGAGAGCATTCTGCGAAGAAGCTGAAAGGCGACGCCAACTGCTGATTTCGAAATTGCATTTGGAAGGTAACCATTCAGATTTTCTTATTTATGTTCAGGCGAGTAAAGATTCCATTAAAATACTGATCAGAAAATTACCTATACAATTGTTTACTATTTTAGTTCCTAATGATATTTCAGACTTAAGATCGTTAATTAATATTGCACAAAATGAGGGAATGTATGAAGAACATATTAATTTTGAATTAAATAAAAATCCAGAAAACCGTAATAAAAACGCTAACCCTAAACAGAATTTTAAATCATACAAATCATATGTCATTCAGACTGGTCCCGTTTGCGGAAGGACTAGAGGCGTTGAAGACCACTTTAGTGGTTGTGCCCTCGGGCTTAAGAACAGCGTGATGTGGAAGGTTGTAAGTGGCGGAACTGCTCGTCAAAGGGACCTCGGCCATGTGACCTAAATCGAGGTATTCTTGGATCACAGAGTGATACCGGGCCTTCAGAGGAGGATCTCTTTTTAGGCGCTGCTCGTTACGTAGTGATTGAGCCAGATTAAAGGATCGTGAAGATGCGAGCTCGGAACCACTATGCTCGGGATCACAACGTATTTGCAACGATTGTCACTTCTTGTAGTTTGGACAAAATTGTGTTCACAGACGGAATCACACTCGGGGACTATCTGTATGGGCACTTCCTCCACCTCTCAGAATTTGGTAAGGAGATGATCCAACGAGTCGTCGAGTCCGCAGGTAACTGGAGATATGGGGGCTATCAGCACCCATCCAACTATGGTTTCCTGGCCGAGAAGTGAACCGCAAATGTTAGCCCTCGCGTTGCCGAGGAGGATGGACGGAAGAATGTCGGCTCCTATCAAGAATTCGATTTGGGAGCTCTCGAAGAACTTGGGATCCGCAAGGGGGATGTCAGGAATTCCCTTAAGAAGATCTCGAGGGACTTGATACGAAGGCAGATTCCCGGCCAGCTGCGGAAGAACGTAAGCTGAAGTTTCTAAATGCAGCTCGGGTCTGGAAGGCGATCGAATAGAAAAATGACAGCGTTTTGTGGACTGAGGTTTGATTACGGTTTGATTAAGACCAGAGACTTGGGCCTGGATAGTCTTGAATGGAAGTTTGACGAGGTTGAAAAGTCTCTCCGTAATAAAGGTTGCCTTGGAGCCAGAGTCGATGAGGGTTCGCGCCTGGAAATTGCACCCTAGATGGCAAATTTTAATGAGGGCAGTGCCCAGTAGGCCGGCTCTTGACCCGGTAGCGAAGCACACTTGCACATCAGTGTGATCCTCTGTGGCGCTCGTGCCTCTTGTAGTAGGCGCGGGTCGAGACCTGGATGGCGCAGACGGACTTGGAGCGGCCGCGAATGGATTACCGCGGTGCAGGAGGGTGTGATGACGGCTGTGACACGTGAAGCAGCTATGGGCGCTAGTGCAATCCCGTTGCAGGTGCCCTCGTGCAAAACAGTTCAGGCAAAGCTGCTTTTTTTTAATGTAGTCGGAACGACCATTTACATCCATCTCAAGGAAGCGCGGACATAAGCGAACAGGATGATTTTCTCTGGAGCAGAGATCGCAACCTCTTTGGGGCTGGAGTCACTCTGGCTTCGTAGGAATTAAGCCTACGCACTGGGGCGTTCGCAGGTGTCGACCTTGGCAGAAACTGACCCGAACTGCTAGGTCTGATGTCATTGATAGCCTCCAGAGTGCGATGACGCTCTGTCAAGAACGAGTCTAACTCATTCCATGTTGGAATCTCAGCCTTGTTGTGAATGGATTGCTCCCACATCGAAAGCGTGATGTTGGGAAGCTTTAAAGAAACCATACACACCAGGAGACAATCCCAAGTCTCGACTTGAATAGAGGACATCTCTAAGGCTGTCAGTCAACTCTGAATTGTGCCTTGCAGCTCTTTCAGAGCGGCTCCGGACTCTTGGGGTAGTGCCTGAATGTTAAAGAGGATTTTCAACTGGCTATTGACTAATAACCGCCGATTTTCAAAGCGGTCGGTGAGGCTTCGCCACGCGGAGATAAACCCTTCGTTGGTCAGCGGGGCTTTGGAAACAATGGCGTGCGCATCGTCACTTGTTTTGGACAATAGGTGGAACAACTTCTCTACCAGTGTAAGACGCAAGTTGTGGATGTATATCGCGGTAAAAAGATCTCTGAAGGTGGGCCAACGCAGGTAATCACCAGCGAAAACTTCGGTGTCGACTGGTTGCAAACGGGGGTGTTGGAACACGGACAGAAGCCTGAGTGGGCTGGTAGGCGGCCTTGTCTATTATTTCCTGAAGCTGGACCAAACATCTCGAAAATACGGAGTAGCAGTAAGTGTACTTGGATTCAAGCACTGTCGAGGTGGCCGTACTGTCGGTGGACGCGGAAAAAAGATCGGAGCAACTTTCATAGGATTTGGTCCCGATGGACTTGGCAAATGCCAGGGGAAAGTCGTTCTGGTTCTGCGGCGCTCGGAGTATGAATATCCGTTTGAAATTGGCTAACCCGGTCTGTTGTGGCAATAAACTTTTTGAGGGCGATGTCTATCGCAGTTTGAGCCATCTTGGACACCGACCGAGAAAGCCTTGACAGGGGACCGGGGATAGTCTCGACGGACTCGTCGCTTTTTGCCCTTGGAATGGCAATGGCAGCCTTTGGCGTCTATTGAGACGGCCGCGGAGACGCGGATAGATGGGATCGACCGCGGTTTCTTGTCGTCTCCCGTGGGCATTCTCGGACTCGAACTCTGCGGCTCTTGTCGACTGACCTGAGCAAGGGGCGTTTCGTTCGGAACGTGAGGATATTCACCGTTAAGCTCTAGGCGCGATCTGAGTCGCCAACGAGTTGCAAATGAACGAATGAAAAAAAAACACACAGAGAACAGTCACACTGTTAATTTGTACGGTGTAGAAAGCACAGTGCCATAAAAACGAGAAGAATCGGAAGAAAATATTTGGAAATCGATGAAAATATATTGATTAGATATATAATTCTTTCCCTTTTCCCTTGGTGACTTCTGTTTTATTAGTTATTGTTGCCAAATAATTTAATTGTATTAAGGTATTTTATTGTTTTTTTTTGGGTTTGGTAAATATCTTTGATCGCAAAAAAAATCCGGAAAAACGCAATAAAAATAAATAAATTAATTACTTTGCCGGATATAATTAAATAATATTTATGATTAAATAATAATTATAATTATGAATTAATAATGTTTATAATTAAAAAATAATTATAAATAATTATTTTTGAGCGGAGCCGGAACTGTGGAATTAAAACCTTGGCTTTGGTTCGGGACAAATGTTCACCGGGTTATGCCGTCGGCAGCGCAGTGCATGCGTGAGGGGCCCGGGAGAGAGAGAGAAGGGAAAAAAATCAGCAACAATAATAACACAGCCGCTGGGGCGGTTAATGCAGCAATTTGGAAAAAAAAACAATCACGGTCGCACCCGTGTGGATTTGAATTTATTTTATTTTATGTTCCTGTATGTGGAGGCAGAAAATATATTTATGTAGATATGGACATGCAAATTAACTTTCTCACTTGTGAATTAGTTTAAAAAATTTATTTTTATTTTTTATTATCACTTATAGCCTACCTTACAATTTTTCAATAGGTCGAACCTATTTTATTCACTGCTCTTTTACTTTTCACTTGATTTTTCTTTGGTGCTCGGTTCGGATCTCAAAAACGGACTGGCCTCCTCGAGTTCAATGATCAATAATCAAACCTCGGCTTAAGAGATTTATCTCAAAAAATTGATAAAGAGAATGACTCAAGAGAGTCAGAAAATAGGATGATGCAATTTGCCAATTAAATTTGAAATCTAAATTTGGCTGGAAAAAAAAAAAAGTTGTTTATAAGTTGGGTAAGAGCCCCTAAGTAATGTGTCATATAACTTGCATGCGTTTATGGATATGTGTATTTTCCTGTATATGGAGGCAGAAAATAGTTTTATGTAGATATGGGCATGCATGCGTTTATGGATATGTGTAAGTGTATATCGGTACAGTAGAGCGTCGACGAGTGGACTGTATTTGAAGTGATGGAACAGATGAAATTATGTGGAGAGAAAAAAAAAACACAAGACAAAAAATATCTCGACAGCGGCGGACTGCTCGGCGAACAGGGAAACTCCCGAAATTAGTTCACACCGAGTGGCTGATATTAGTTATGCCTTTTTATTTTCCACCACACAATTTCACTTTTTGTCGTATTTCTTTTTTCTCGGAGGCAGAATTGCACTGCACTATGTACACAAGTTGTCACGCGCGTGTATGTGTATGTCTGGAGGCACATATGCCTTGACCGTTGGCAAGTTGATGTACAACGGGGAAAACGGCAAGGAGTATGGCGACGCACACAAAGCGGAGACGGATAAAAAATTTGTTGGAATTGAAGGATTGTTAAATTTCTCGACTGCCGTTGTGTCGGGGAAACTCGGACGTGAAGTTGAGACGAAAAAATTGATCTTGCTGCAGTGTGAACGAAATTCAGCGAGAGGGAGTCGGAAAATGCTCGTACTTATCTTTTTTGCGGAAAAAATCACCGAAGCTGCTGGTCGAATGGCAGAAGGATATCCTTATCCGGCTTGAAGGACCAACATGTTGAAGGGGGGCGATCCTGCCACAAAAAAGAATTGAAGGCACAAAAAAATTCCCACGGCGCAAACTTAAAGGGAGAGGAAATTAATAACTCGGGGGCGTCGTGGTGTAATTCAATGTGTTTTATTCGGCTGCATACATGAGACTCTTACTTAAACCTTACGCCGCGCTCCTGCCCGCTTTACTCCGCTGAAGCGAGAGCGGGAGATCGGCAGCGGCCGTCCAAGGAGTTCGGATCCGAAACCCGGAGCTCGCACTCTGGAGCGCGGACGTTGCGAGAAGAGAGCGTAGTAAACAGCGGCGATGCAGTGGGCCACAGACCTAATCAAATATGATTAATACAAATATATTTTGTCTGCCCATTCAAAATATCCAATGTGAAGTTTTGACATCAAATGGTCCTATTACACTGAACAAATTAATTATGTTACCCAACAATAGTATTTTTAAAACAACTGAACCATTTTATGTACACAGTTTTTCAATTATAAATAACAAAAATAGCACAGTTACCATGTTTGATAAAACATAAAAATCAATTACTTCAAAATCAGTAAAAAACCAAAATTTTTATATCCAAAAGCCAACAGAAACAATAAAATATTCAGCTCAGGAATCAATAAAAAAAAAAGATTTCGAATTGTTTCGATTAGATCACCTGAATCAGGAGGAAACTTTAGGGTTAAAAGCTTTATTAAATAAATTCAAAAATCTTCAATATGAAGAAGAAGACAATTTAACATTTACAAATTCTATTAAGCACGTACTAAATACAACACATAACACGAAATTGAAGTCGAAAACCAAGTGCAAGAAATGCTTAATCAGGGATTAATTAGGGAAAGTAATTCACCATAAAATAGTCCTACCATAAAACCAAACCCCCTTAAAGTTAAAGCCATAGTTTCCTATCCAACTCCAACAAAAGTAAATGAGATCAGAGCTTTTCTTGGATTAACAGGTTATTATCGCAAATGTATTCCAAACTACGCAGACATAGCAAAACCAATCACCACATGTTTAAAAAAAGGAGCAAAGATAGATACACAAAATCTCGACTACATAGAAGGATTCAAACACCTTAAAGCTTTAATAATAAGAGAACCAAATTTCCAATTGCCCGATTTTGAAAAGAAATTCACTTTAACTACAGATGCCAGTAATTTAGCCCTTGGGCCGTACTTTCTCAAAATTGTCATCCTATATCCTTTATTAGCAGAACACTTAATGAACACGAATTAAATTACAGTGCTATCGAAAAGGAATTACTTGCAATTGCCACTAAAACTTTTCGACATTATTTACTAGGACGACATTTTCTCATTGCTAGTGACCATCAACCTCTTAGATGGCTGCATACCTTAAAAAACCGAATGCCAAGTTACAAAGATGGAGAGCCAAATTAAATGAATACCAATTTAAAATCGATTATTTTAAAGGAAAGGAAAATTCAGTTGCCGATGCATTATCAAGAATTAAAATTGAAGAAAATCATCATAGTGAAGTTACTCAACACAGTGCAGAAGAAGACAATAGCAACCTTATTCATTTAACAGAAAAACCAATAAACTATTTCAATAAACTATATTCGATAAAAATAAAGTAGAGCATTCAACAATATTCGGTAACTCCATTACGACAATTTAATATAATGAAATAACACTTGAAAAGGCCAGACAAATTTTACTTGATCATTATACCCGTTACTCGTAGAGTAAAAGGGTATATTGTATTCGTGCAAAAGTATGTAACAGGTAGAAGGAAGCGTATCCGACCCTATAAAGTATATATATTCTTGTTCAGGATCACTAGCCGAGTCGATCTAGCCATGTCCGTCTCTTCGTCTGTCTGTCCGTCTGTCTGTCCGTCTGTCTGTCCGTTTGAACGCTGAGATCTCGGAAACTATAAAAGCTAGAAGATTGGCATTTTGCATGTAGATTTTAGGAGTTCCTACGCAGCGCAAGTTTGTTTCAAAATGCTGCCACGCCCCCTCTGACGCCCACAAGCCACATGCAGTGGCCACAGTTTTTATGCTATTATGAAAATTTTAATTGATATGTATTTATTTCGTCAATACCTATCGATTGGCCTAATAAAAGTTTGCCACGCCCACTCTAACGCCCAAAAACCCATTAAACGCTTAAACCTGACTAGCGCCTACATTTCCGCCTTTCATGGCGCCATCTAACGGATGACTTTGGAAACGCTGGCCAAGGTACTAATTTGAGCGGCGAAAAACATACAAGAAGGCATATTTATATTAAGTTGTTTAGCTGAGTAACGGGTATCTAATAGTCGAGGCACTCGACTATAGCATTCTCTCTTGTTTTATTGATAGAAACATTACCATTTATATTGAGAGCGATGTAGATTTTGAAATTATGCAAAGAGCATACAAGGAAATTATTAATACCACCTAATTTGCAGCCTCTACCTATTAAAGAATGTTTGTTCATACATCGAATTCAAAGAAATAATTCTTCAATCACATGAAAAAATTTTACATACAGGTATACAGAAAATGACCAAATTATTCAAAGAAAATCACTTCTTTCCAAATAGCCAACTATTAATTCAAAATATAATAAATGAATGCAACAAATGCAATTTAGATAAAACAGAACATAGAATCACCAAAATGCCTTTTAAAATCATACCTAGCCCTGAACATTGTCGATACAAATTTGTGGTAGATATATATTCATCTGAGGGAAAACATTACATCAGTTGCATTGACATTTATTCTAAGCTAGAGCACCCGGCGAACTTTGTCTCGCCCCAATTTCACGACTTCATATAACCCCAGCGTGAAACTTCTGGTATTTCGGCTGAAATAATCGAATCCAAAGCTGAAAGTGCGCATGTGGTAAGCCACGCTTCTGCCACTCAACCGAGTACATCCAACAACGAACTACGCCAAAAACCTTCTGCTTAACGATGTAATTCATAAGTACTGTGATCTTTTGCTTGAATACTCGTGCAGTGATGTAATTTCGGGACATTTAGGATTGCATGTGAACGTGATGAATAAATCCGGGCGTCCGTAATTACGGACATACGTCATCGCATCTTGAGCGTACTCATGCATATGGCGCGGGCTTCCAACATAAGTAGCTGGGAGAATGGTCAAACAACCGATGCTGGCCGCGTGTCCTTCAGTAGCGATGGCGTCACGCATGTGGATGTACTCGCCTGAGCGCAACTTCGACTGATTGAAACGAATGAAATTGAGACGCTCCGTTTCTACTTCGACGTACATGTCGACACAGTACTGTTGAAACAAACGGCGGTATCTCAACAGATGATTGTCAACATCTAGTCGAATCATCAATCGATACGCATAAAAATTCATAGAGCTGACCTTCTTATTCGTTTCTTCTCCTAAAATTTGAATTCAAACTAAGTTGTAGAATCAAAAAGAAATAATGACTTGTAAACAAACCTGTCGTTGGATTGACCATCTTTATGTTGAAGTGATACCCATCTTCTCCACGACAGAACATCAACGGGTATTAAAGTGCATCATATGACCGATGAGTCTCATAAACTTGCTGCAATTGGCCATCATCCCGACGCTTGAGAGCAATATCGCGTGATTCCACATTCTCGCCAACAATCACCACTGCGACTTCATTAATAGTGGGAGCATTAAATTGTCTTGCATAGCTTCCTTTTGTCAGCGCTGATAATGATTTTGTGGTCGTTAGAATGCATTGTATCCAGTGCGGTTTTGAACAATCTGACCAATTCATTACCCTCATGCAGAAGATTTTGCAATTGTGGTACAACTTCACGTTTAGTTGCAGTGAAAATTGCACAACGCTGATTTAGTTCATCTTCCGAATCACCAATGAAGTAGATCTGAAGGTATTTATGATCTTTGTTTGGTGGTGGTAACAAAGCGCCCGCTCGATGGTGAATTTGCCTTGAATCTGAATGTTGGGATGCAATTTTGAAAAAATGAGATAATAAAGCGACGCCATTACCTTATAACTCGGATTGTAGCCTGGTTGATGAACAACCTCGGCTCCAAATGACGTAATTTGAAAGCATCCGTTATATTTTTGTGCAAGCTTTAGGAAGCTGTTTGGGCTGAATTTCCATATAGTAGCGAATACAATGTCTCTGGTCAATGTCACCTGCACAACATAAGCCGGGGGTTTCCAATCGAAACTTCAGTGCATTGCAATGCTGACATACGACAGACAATGAACCAATAATAATGCAGCTATGATCTTTGTAGGGTGTTTCGGAATTGTATGCGAATGCAGCGCGTTTCAAGTTATCATTTGCGGCTGGTCTTCTTCTACTCACATTTTGTCGGGCTTGAGGTGGTCTTTGTGCAGCGCGAAGCTGTGCAATTCGGGCGCGTGCCGATGCATTTATTTCTGCACGTACCTCTTGCGTTTGATTATAACGGACATTCTGAGAATGTTTCGCATTTCGTGAACGCCGTCCAAGTCTTGATATCAAAGCAGGCATTATTTCCAATTAAAACTTTGGCAATGTTTCGTTAACTCGTGTTTTTACAGTTTTATGTACAACAATGAAGGCATTATTTCCAAAGTACAACAATGAATACATCTCTTGAGCCGATAGCGGCAGGTTTTCCCAAAATTTTCTTATGCATTAACCTTCTTCTGGCAATTACAAACAACTGAAAAAAAATTTGAGCCAAATCGGGCCAGCCGTTCTCTTGTTTTGCGATGTCGTACATTTTTTGCACCATTTTTATATATATAGATTCGCTACACTTGAGCAAATTAAAACTAAGGACTGGATAAAATGCATGAACGCACTAATGCGCATTTTTAATCAGTTAGGCAAACCCAAATTACTGCCTAAATGTTAAAGAGGATTTTCAACTGGCTATTGACTAATAACCGCCGATATTCGAAGCGGTCGGTGAGGCTTCGCCACGCGGAGATAAACCCTTCGTTGGTCAGCGGGGCTTTGGAAACAATGGCGTGCGCATCGCCACTTGTTTTGGACAATAGGTGGAACAACTTCTCTACCAGTGTAAGACGCGAGTTGAGGTTGTATATCGCGGTAAAAAGATCTCTGAAGGTGGGCCAACGCAGGCAATCACCAGCGAAAACTTCGGTGTCGACTGGTTGCAAACGGGGGTGTTGGAACACGGACAGAAGCCTGAGTGGGCTGGTAGGCGGCCTTGTCTATTATTTCCTGAAGCTGGACCAAACATCTCGAAAATACGGAGTAGCAGTAAGTGTACTTGGATTCAAGCACTGTCGAGGTGGCCGTACTGTCGGTGGACGCGGAAAAAAGATCGGAGCAACTTTCATAGCTCTTCTCCACCTCTTCCCACAGGGCCCGGATTTGGTCCCGATGGACTTGGCAAATGCCAGGGGAAAGTCGTTCTGGTTCTGCAGCGCTCGGAGTATGAATATCCGTTTGAAATTGGCTAACCCGGTCTGTTGTGGCAATAAACTTTTTGAGGGCGATGTCTATCGCAGTTTGAGCCATCTTGGACATCGACCGAGAAAGCCTTGACAGGGGACCGGGGATAGTCTCGACGGACTCGTCGCTTTTTGCCCTTGGAATGGCAATGGCAGCCTTTGGCGTTAATTGAGACGGCCGCGGAGACGCGGATAGATGGGATCGACCGCGGTTTCTTGTCGTCTCCCGTGGGCATTTTTGGACTCAAACTCTGCGGATCAGCTCTTGTTGACTGACCTGAGCAAGGGGCGTTTCGTTCGGAACGTGAGGATATTCACCGTTAAGCTCTAGGCGCGATAAATTAATTACTTTGCCGGAAATAATTAAATAATATTTATAATTAAATAATAATTATAATTATGAATTAATAATGTTTATAATTAAAAAATAATTATAAATAATTATTTTTGAGCGGAGCCGGAACTGTGGAATTAAAACCTTGGCTTTGGTTCGGGACAAATGTTCACCGGGTTATGCCGTCGGCAGCGCAGTGCATGCGTGAGGGGCCCGGGAGAGAGAGAGAAGGGAAAAAATCAGCAACAATAATAACACAGCCGCTGGGGCGGTTAATGCAGCAATTTGGAAAAAAAACAATCACGGTCGCACCCGTGTGGATTTGAATTTATTTTATTTTATGTTCCTGTATGTGGAGGCAGAAAATATATTTATGTAGATATGGACATGCAAATTAACTTTCTCACTTGTGAATTAGTTTAAAAAATTTATTTTTATTTTTTATTATCACTTATAGCCTACCTTACAATTTTTCAATAGGTCGAACCTATTTTATTCACTGCTCTTTTACTTTTCACTTGATTTTTCTTTGGTGCTCGGTTCGGATCTCAAAAACGGACTGGCCTCCTCGAGTTCAATGATCAATAATCAAACCTCGGCTTAAGAGATTTATCTCAAAAAATTGATAAAGAGAATGACTCAAGAGAGTCGGAAAATAGGATGATGCAATTTGCCAATTAAATTTAAATTCTAAATTTGGCTGGAAATTGGTGTTTACATTAGCGGACTTTAGGGATCGCTTTGGAAATCTTTTGTTTGCATTAGCGGACTCAGGGCTCGCTTGGGGGCTCCGAAGTTTACAGTATCAGCTTGGATGTTTACAGCATCCGTTTGATGCGGACTTCGTGAAATTGATCTGGGAGGGAATAATTTAGAGGCGTGTTGACAGAAATAGGTGACCACGGATTTATCTCGGGTTTTGTCAGAGTTAATTGGAAATTGGCTCTCGGCTCAAAGTTGTTTATAAGTTGGGTAAGAGCCCCTAAGTAATGTGTCATATAACTCGCCCCATTCTAAATTGAATCGTCCCGATTCATTGGAACTGATATTTTCTTCTAGGGTATTTTCATTGACGGGGATATTATTTATTTCATTATCGGAAATTTTGTTTTCTGGTTCGATTTCTATATGAATTTGCCATGGTTTGAATATTACAAATTTTCTGTATTTAATTACAACCATAATAATTAAATATATAATATAACTGTGAATATGATTAATATTAACGTAACTGGTATTTGTGTTTGTTTAATTTGAATAAAAGGATTTAGATTGTTAATATTAATTAATATTAATACCACCTAATTTGCAGCCTCTACCTATTAAAGAATGTTTGTTCATACATCGAATTCAAAGAAATAATTCTTCAATCACATGAAAAAATTTTACATACAGGTATACAGAAAATGACCAAATTATTCAAAGAAAATAACTTCTTTCCAAATAGCCAACTATTAATTCAAAATATAATAAATGAATGCAACAAATGCAATTTAGATAAAACAGAACATAGAATCACCAAAATGCCTTTTAAAATCACACCTAGCCCTGAACATTGTCGATACAAATTTGTGGTAGATATATATTCATCTGAGGGAAAACATTACATCAGTTGCATTGACATTTATTCTAAGCTAGAGCACCCGGCGAACTTTGTCTCGCCCCAATTTCACGACTTCATATAACCCCAGCGTGAAACTTCTGGTATTTCGGCTGAAATAATCGAATCCAAAGCTGAAAGTGCGCATGTGGTAAGCCACGCTTCTGCCACTCAACCGAGTACATCCAACAACGAACTACGCCAAAAACCTTCTGCTTAACGATGTAATTCATAAGTACTGTGATCTTTTGCTTGAATACTCGTGCAGTGATGTAATTTCGGGACATTTAGGATTGCATGTGAACGTGATGAATAAATCCGGGCGTCCGTAATTACGGACATACGTCATCGCATCTTGAGCGTACTCATGCATATGGCGCGGGCTTCCAACATAAGTAGCTGGGAGAATGGTCAAACAACCGATGCTGGCCGCGTGTCCTTCAGTAGCGATGGCGTCACGCATGTGGATGTACTCGCCTGAGCGCAACTTCGACTGATTGAAACGAATGAAATTGAGACGCTCCGTTTCTACTTCGACGTACATGTCGACACAGTACTGTTGAAACAAACGGCGGTATCTCAACAGATGATTGTCAACATCTAGTCGAATCATCAATCGATACGCATAAAAATTCATAGAGCTGACCTTCTTATTCGTTTCTTCTCCTAAAATTTGAATTCAAACTAAGTTGTAGAATCAAAAAGAAATAATGACTTGTAAACAAACCTGTCGTTGGATTGACCATCTTTATGTTGAAGTGATACCCATCTTCTCCACGACAGAACATCAACGGGTATTAAAGTGCATCATATGACCGATGAGTCTCATAAACTTGCTGCAATTGGCCATCATCCCGACGCTTGAGAGCAATATCGCGTGATTCCACATTCTCGCCAACAATCACCACTGCGACTTCATTAATAGTGGGAGCATTAAATTGTCTTGCATAGCTTCCTTTTGTCAGCGCTGATAATGATTTTGTGGTCGTTAGAATGCATTGTATCCAGTGCGGTTTTGAACAATCTGACCAATTCATTACCCTCATGCAGAAGATTTTGCAATTGTGGTACAACTTCACGTTTAGTTGCAGTGAAAATTGCACAACGCTGATTTAGTTCATCTTCCGAATCACCAATGAAGTAGATCTGAAGGTATTTATGATCTTTGTTTGGTGGTGGTAACAAAGCGCCCGCTCGATGGTGAATTTGCCTTGAATCTGAATGTTGGGATGCAATTTTGAAAAAATGAGATAATAAAGCGACGCCATTACCTTATAACTCGGATTGTAGCCTGGTTGATGAACAACCTCGGCTCCAAATGACGTAATTTGAAAGCATCCGTTATATTTTTGTGCAAGCTTTAGGAAGCTGTTTGGGCTGAATTTCCATATAGTAGCGAATACAATGTCTCTGGTCAATGTCACCTGCACAACATAAGCCGGGGGTTTCCAATCGAAACTTCAGTGCATTGCAATGCTGACATACGACAGACAATGAACCAATAATAATGCAGCTATGATCTTTGTAGGGTGTTTCGGAATTGTATGCGAATGCAGCGCGTTTCAAGTTATCATTTGCGGCTGGTCTTCTTCTACTCACATTTTGTCGGGCTTGAGGTGGTCTTTGTGCAGCGCGAAGCTGTGCAATTCGGGCGCGTGCCGATGCATTTATTTCTGCACGTACCTCTTGCGTTTGATTATAACGGACATTCTGAGAATGTTTCGCATTTCGTGAACGCCGTCCAAGTCTTGATATCAAAGCAGGCATTATTTCCAATTAAAACTTTGGCAATGTTTCGTTAACTCGTGTTTTTACAGTTTTATAGTACAACAATGAAGGCATTATTTCCAAAGTACAACAATGAATACATCTCTTGAGCCGATAGCGGCAGGTTTTCCCAAAATTTTCTTATGCATTAACCTTCTTCTGGCAATTACAAACAACTGAAAAAAAATTTGAGCCAAATCGGGCCAGCCGTTCTCTTGTTTTGCGATGTCGTACATTTTTTGCACCATTTTTATATATATAGATTCGCTACACTTGAGCAAATTAAAACTAAGGACTGGATAAAATGCATGAACGCACTAATGCGCATTTTTAATCAGTTAGGCAAACCCAAATTACTGCCTAAATGTTAAAGAGGATTTTCAACTGGCTATTGACTAATAACCGCCGATATTCGAAGCGGTCGGTGAGGCTTCGCCACGCGGAGATAAACCCTTCGTTGGTCAGCGGGGCTTTGGAAACAATGGCGTGCGCATCGCCACTTGTTTTGGACAATAGGTGGAACAACTTCTCTACCAGTGTAAGACGCGAGTTGAGGTTGTATATCGCGGTAAAAAGATCTCTGAAGGTGGGCCAACGCAGGCAATCACCAGCGAAAACTTCGGTGTCGACTGGTTGCAAACGGGAGTGTTGGAACACGGACAGAAGCCTGAGTGGGCTGGTAGGCGGCCTTGTCTATTATTTCCTGAAGCTGGACCAAACATCTCGAAAATACGGAGTAGCAGTAAGTGTACTTGGATTCAAGCACTGTCGAGGTGGCCGTACTGTCGGTGGACGCGGAAAAAAGATCGGAGCAACTTTCATAGCTCTTCTCCACCTCTTCCCACAGGGCCCGGATTTGGTCCCGATGGACTTGGCAAATGCCAGGGGAAAGTCGTTCTGGTTCTGCAGCGCTCGGAGTATGAATATCCGTTTGAAATTGGCTAACCCGGTCTGTTGTGGCAATAAACTTTTTGAGGGCGATGTCTATCGCAGTTTGAGCCATCTTGGACATCGACCGAGAAAGCCTTGACAGGGGACCGGGGATAGTCTCGACGGACTCGTCGCTTTTTGCCCTTGGAATGGCAATGGCAGCCTTTGGCGTTAATTGAGACGGCCGCGGAGACGCGGATAGATGGGATCGACCGCGGTTTCTTGTCGTCTCCCGTGGGCATTTTTGGACTCAAACTCTGCGGATCAGCTCTTGTTGACTGACCTGAGCAAGGGGCGTTTCGTTCGGAACGTGAGGATATTCACCGTTAAGCTCTAGGCGCGATAAATTAATTACTTTGCCGGAAATAATTAAATAATATTTATAATTAAATAATAATTATAATTATGAATTAATAATGTTTATAATTAAAAAATAATTATAAATAATTATTTTTGAGCGGAGCCGGAACTGTGGAATTAAAACCTTGGCTTTGGTTCGGGACAAATGTTCACCGGGTTATGCCGTCGGCAGCGCAGTGCATGCGTGAGGGGCCCGGGAGAGAGAGAGAAGGGAAAAAAATCAGCAACAATAATAACACAGCCGCTGGGGCGGTTAATGCAGCAATTTGGAAAAAAAAACAATCACGGTCGCACCCGTGTGGATTTGAATTTATTTTATTTTATGTTCCTGTATGTGGAGGCAGAAAATATATTTATGTAGATATGGACATGCAAATTAACTTTCTCACTTGTGAATTAGTTTAAAAAATTTATTTTTATTTTTTATTATCACTTATAGCCTACCTTACAATTTTTCAATAGGTCGAACCTATTTTATTCACTGCTCTTTTACTTTTCACTTGATTTTTCTTTGGTGCTCGGTTCGGATCTCAAAAACGGACTGGCCTCCTTGAGTTCAATGATCAATAACAACCTCGGCTTAAGAGATTTATCTCAAAAAATTGATAAAGAGAATGACTCAAGAGAGTCGGAAAATAGGATGATGCAATTTGCCAATTAAATTTAAATTCTAAATTTGGCTGGAAATTGGTGTTTACATTAGCGGACTTTAGGGATCGCTTTGGAAATCTTTTGTTTGCATTAGCGGACTCAGGGCTCGCTTGGGGGCTCCGAAGTTTACAGTATCAGCTTGGATGTTTACAGCATCCGTTTGATGCGGACTTCGTGAAATTGATCTGGGAGGGAATAATTTAGAGGCGTGTTGACAGAAATAGGTGACCACGGATTTATCTCGGGTTTTGTCAGAGTTAATTGGAAATTGGCTCTCGGCTCAAAGTTGTTTATAAGTTGGGTAAGAGCCCCTAAGTAATGTGTCATATAACTCGCCCCATTCTAAATTGAATCGTCCCGATTCATTGGAACTTGGTATATTAATGTATTTGGTTGGTTAATTCAACAATGATATTTTCTTCTAGGGTATTTTCATTGACGGGGATATTATTTATTTCATTATCGGAAATTTTGTTTTCTGGTTCGATTTCTATATGAATTTGCCATGGTTTGAATATTACAAATTTTCTGTATTTAATTACAACCATAATAATTAAATATATAATATAACTGTGAATATGATTAATATTAACGTAACTGGTATTTGTGTTTGTTTAATTTGAATAAAAGGATTTAGATTGTTAATATTAATTAATATTAATACCACCTAATTTGCAGCCTCTACCTATTAAAGAATGTTTGTTCATACATCGAATTCAAAGAAATAATTCTTCAATCACATGAAAAAATTGTACATCCAGGTATACAGAAAATGACCAAATTATTCAAAGAAAATCACTTCTTTCCAAATAGCCAACTATTAATTCAAAATATAATAAATGAATGCCACAAATGCAATTTAGCTAAAACAGAACATAGAATCACCAAAATGCCTTTTAAAATCACACCTAGCCCTGAACATTGTCGATACAAATTTGTGGTAGATATATATTCATCTGAGGGAAAACATTACATCAGTTGCATTGACATTTATTCTAAGCTAGAGCACCCGGCGAACTTTGTCTCGCCCCAATTTCACGACTTCATATAACCCCAGCGTGAAACTTCTGGTATTTCGGCTGAAATAATCGAATCCAAAGCTGAAAGTGCGCATGTGGTAAGCCACGCTTCTGCCACTCAACCGAGTACATCCAACAACAAACTACGCCAAAAACCTTCTGCTTAACGATGTAATTCATAAGTACTGTGATCTTTTGCTTGAATACTCGTGCAGTGATGTAATTTCGGGACATTTAGGATTGCATGTGAACGTGATGAATAAATCCGGGCGTCCGTAATTACAGACATACGTCATCGCATCTTGAGCGTACTCATGCATATGGCGCGGGCTTCCAACATAAGTAGCTGGGAGAATGGTCAAACAACCGATGCTGGCCGCGTGTCCTTCAGTAGCGATGGCGTCACGCATGTGGATGTACTCGCCTGAGCGCAACTTCGACTGATTGAAACGAATGAAATTGAGACCTCCGTTTCTACTTCGACGTACATGTCGACACAGTACTGTTGAAACAAACGGCGGTATCTCAACAGATGATTGTCAACATCTAGTCGAATCATCAATCGATACGCATAAAAATTCATAGAGCTGACCTTCTTATTCGTTTCTTCTCCTAAAATTTGAATTCAAACTAAGTTGTAGAATCAAAAAGAAATAATGACTTGTAAACAAACCTGTCGTTGGATTGACCATCTTTATGTTGAAGTGATACCCATCTTCTCCACGACAGAACATCAACGGGTATTTTAAAGTGCATCATATGACCGATGAGTCTCATAAACTTGCTGCAATTGGCCATCATCCCGACGCTTGAGAGCAATATCGCGTGATTCCACATTCTCGCCAACAATCACCACTGCGACTTCATTAATAGTGGGAGCATTAAATTGTCTTGCATAGCTTCCTTTTGTCAGCGCTGATAATGATTTTGTGGTCGTCAGAATGCATTGTATCCAGTGCGGTTTTGAACAATCTGACCAATTCATTACCCTCATGCAGAAGATTTTGCAATTGTGGTACAACTTCACGTTTAGTTGCAGTGAAAA